AGAAAAAGACCACTTTCTCTACAAGTTTAGAAGTATGTCCCTACACCATCTCTTCTTCCCTTCCTTCTCTGCTGATGGATCTACTAACAGAGAGATTGATGTTATATGGCTTGTAAGGTGCTTGTTTCATTGATTACACACAGGAAAGAGATCTCTTCCAAAAATACTACAGGACAGCTACTTTACACTCTAAATATCTGCTTCATAACCTGAACAAGATCCAGTATCAGTCATTTTATCTAACAAATTTAATGCTAAATGAAGCACACAATATCATTCTGGCATAACCAGCAAGTTTGCTATTTTTTGCTAGCTAGTTGGAGCGTTTTATTAAAAATAATACAGCTGAAAAAAACCCACAGTATTCACAAATCCATAAACTTGTTTCCTTTTTCCTGCTATACTGCCTAGTCCAATACCGTATCTTACCAGGAATAGAATATGCGTTAGGTGGCCTTCTCTAATTCTCACATCTTGAAGTAACAGACCTAAAGCAGACAACCTCCCCCCTAGAGCACACACAGGTATGAATCATAAAGAGGATAAGCAGCCAGCAGGACGAAGAATGGCAGATACACTGAAGTTTGAAATACTGCGTTCTCAAAAATAATCTCAGGTTTAATGACCAAAGTCAGCTCACATTTACTCCCAGTAAACATTTTTGGGGGTTGTTTATATGTTTGGGACGTGTGTTCATAGAGGAAATCTGGAACATGGATTTTTTTTTTTTTTTTTTTTTAAAAATATATGTTCTTCAGAAGACTTCCTAAAAATTAGCACTTGATTAGATAACATCCAGGCCCAGCATTAAATATCAAATTGATGGGGAGAGTAAAAAATGGAAGGCAAATGGAATATCTGCAAAAAATAGGATAGTATAGTGTCTCAGCAAGGAGCTTAATTGTAGTCTTATTCAATCTGACTTTAGAAATTACCCTGGGGACGAACATATCCAAGGTTTCTGTCTGGAGATTACTATAGCAGAAAAGGCTTATGTTTTACTTAAAGGACATAACTAGAGACATCTGTGAATCACAGCCTCCTTAGAGACTTCAAGAGAAGATGACTGTCAAGCATCACCTTCCGTATTTATACAGTGCATCCTGTGCCTGCTAATAAGCACTCTTGAGCTCGTCTAGGCTACCCTCAGTTAGCAGTACTTTTCAGATTAAGTGAATATTCCCGAGCTCCAAGATATTAATGTGTAATTTCAAAGAACAATGAAACTATATACCATGTAACTTTAACTTCTTCAGCTGAACATAGCAACCTTTCTCTAGGTTATGTAGTAAGCATTACTGTTAAAGAAATGGTCAAGATGAAAACCTCTTCTGTAAATTCAGGTCCAATCACCTGGAAAATCTCATAGAACTCAGGGATTCTTTTATGATATTTGGACTGGAAAGACAGATCGACAGCTCAAGGACAGTGTACGAAGCTTGGCAAAGGCATTAGATACAAGAATGTTGACACACAGTCTGGTAGTTCCAGGTAGATGTCTATCAGAGTGGAAAGACTGCTCTTTGAAATAGAAGTTTATGGTTTCAAGAAGCTGGTGGATCCTACTGCGTGAGAAAGAAGGTAATGTTCCATAGTTCACTGCGTTTTCTAAGGTCTAGCTAGGATCAGCTCCTAATCACATCTCCTAATCTCCTACGCATCCCTGTACGAATAAATACAAATAGCTTATTTAAATGCATTATCACCAACCCAGGCATTTGACAGAGATTAACTCCAGATAGAGTTAATACTTCAGACAGAGTCTGAATATCATACCAACCAGCAGGAAATAGTTGGAGTCACAACAGCTTCAGCTGTTAGCAAGGTTACTGCCCTCTAGTTCTATCCGGTGTGTTTTTTCAGAACTACAACATGCTGCAAGTCATTATTAAGATTACGGTGGGGCAGCCACTACTATTTAGAGTTATGTATCTACTCAGATTTCCTCAGGATAGGTCACATACCCTCCCCCCATCTTCATTTTTTTTCCTTCTAATGTGAAATGGAAGTAACCAGAAGTGGACCCCTTTGAATTTGTACTAGCCAAAAGAACAAGGCCATATCTGCTCACAACATAACACTGAGATAAATGTGTAGAAGGGCAGAAAGTAAAAAAGCAAAGTTCAAGGGCTGACATACAAAGTGCTGTAGTTATGAAGAATATCTAGCATCCACTTTGACACCATTACAAACCATACGAAATGCAATTGTGTGAAATAATTTGAGGGATTTCTAAAGGGGTATTCCCACAGTTATAAGATTTGCTTTTGCACTGAAAGACTAAGACATTTTTGTTTAGAAGGCATGCTCCTGTTTAATTTGTGCCTTTTTATAGTATAAACACAAGGCTGTCTTGCAGAATGACACTTGTCACTAAGATTTGCAAAAGAAAGCTAACAGCTCACAGGTGTAGATTTTAAACGCTCAACTGTCTCTCCAGACTTGCATGAAGAGCACTGATATGTTTACCAATGGTAACATAATTAACAACCTCAAAGGACCCTACTGGTTGAAGAAGCTGCCTTGAGGTGAAGGGGAAAAACAATCCTACAAGGCAATTTGTCAGGTCCTTGAATGTGCTCTCACTCAAATTTCTCATACAGCCCTACAAAGACCAAGCAGCTTAAACAGGCATCCACATTTTAAGGACTTTTAAGTTGCATAGACTAGATTCTACATTCATAGTTTGTTTCAAATATTACTGTTTGTGTTTGAAATACAAAAAGCCTAGGGAATTTTCCTGAGGTTTCAGTCAGTGCCTTCTTATTCACGTCAGGATGCAACACAAAATCTTTTTTCTGATCTACAGAACAAGCCTGTCATTGTTCGATCAAAAGATATTCTTGTGCCCTTCTACTGTTTACGTGAGTGGCTAAGAACAGATATGTGAAACATATCCAGGAACATCCTCATTTTCTAAACAGAGACCCAAGTTATGAGGCTCCTCTGCAAAAAACCCAAACAAAAAACCCAAACAAAAACAAAACTACAAAAAAAATCCCAAAACAAATAAACAAAAACCCACCACCAATTTAAACATCAGAAGCATGGTCCATCAGTGTTCATTAGCCTCCTTTGTTTTTTGGATACATTTCTACCTATATTAAAAATGAAATGGTTTTGGTCATAGTTTGTAACTACCTACATGTAAGAGATACTGGAAACAAAGCCATATCTGAACCAAATGCTCAAAGTTCAAACGAGGAAGAAATAAAAATTCTTTACGAAGGAAGTTAAGTTCTTGGAGTCTTTAAATTAAGATGACCATACATTATAAAAATGTCGCAATATTCTTCCAGTAGTTCAAGTAAGATGCAAGACCTCTGAATGAAATACTGCAGCTGGTCTAATGCAGCAAACCATATTCATTAAAAAGAAGTCTCTTTGTGATCTCAAAATCTACTTCAATTTCTCTTCTGCTTACCTGAAAATACATAGTATGTAAACAGTAAACTATAACCATCTTCTCATATCTGGAGGTTCATACCTGGCAAAGCAACTGTACCGTCTTGTTCCAAAGTTTCAGGGTTTATTCTTACGGCTGTCATACTGTGATTATTCGCATCTCTATATAATAAATAACCCTGGTAAGAGTAAGAATATATATATATTGGTATGAAAATATTCTTAAATACCTCAATGGATATTGTCAAAAGTGAAAAAAATGCAATCATTATTTTAGGTATTGTTTAAAAATTTTGGAAACCTTTTACATTTACTTCAAATTAGCTTCATTTTGATAATCAACTTTTTTCCACTAATCAAATTCTGCAATAAAAACCAGAAATTTGACCCCCTTCCTCCACACTTTCTACACGTTGTAGATCAGCATGTTGAAGCTCATATACAGCTTTTGAAGCCACACATAGTAATTCTGTTCTTCGTATGTGTATACAATTACAGTTAAAAGCCACAGCCACAGTAAAAACCAATGTTCCTGTCCCCACTTTCCAAATCAACAAAAGATTCACAGGAATTCCAGGAAGGAGATATATATATTGCCCTATATAGATGAGTGATCATTAATGAATATTAACATGTGCATTAAAACTAGATAATTTTTCAAAAGTGTTAATTAACTACTTTGACTCCCAGAGTAACAAGATTCCATGTATTTATTCTTTCTGAGCTCTTCATCAATGAAATTCCCGCAAAGTATATGGTGATTTTGGTGACAGCAGCCATGACACAAGGTTACATATGATGAGTTCTTATACCGCTCACCTCCTAACCAGACCTAGGGGAAGGGAGATGTTCAGGACCAATGATTTCCTCTTTCTGTTTCTCCATATGCAGAATACCTTCATATCCCTACAATTACCTATTCTACCAAAGTCTCCTTTGGTATACCAAAATAGTATCTTCTCTCTGTTCATATGTATGTATTTTTTAAAGGTTTGATTCAGTCACCAGTTCAGCAAAAAAAAACTACCTGAAACTCTCATTTGAGGCTTATTGTTTATACCTATAACTTTGAGTGCACTTTTAAACAAACACAGTCAAGTTTTGCTTCAGCTTAAACTACATAGGTTGCATAAGCCCCCATGTTTGCATTATGTGCACAGATCCATAAGAGAGGCAATATGGCAACTTTGCTCTCCTATCTTTTTCAATCCTACAATGCCTGTGAACCCTTCAAAGATTTTGAGGGAGCAGGGTAGAAACACAGCTGGGGAATTTACACTTACAAAGCACTTCTGCTATAAAAGCAGCTACAGGAAACAAAGATTACTTAAGGGCACTTATGAACATCCTCATTCAAGGTGACTGAGACCAAGCAAATTAGTATTCACCCACCTACAGGAGGGTTGCAGAGGCCAAAATGAATATTACTAAGTAATGATTCTGACAACAGCAGTGTCAGAGCAGGAGATATGACAAGGGCTTGCACTTGCTTGAAGCATGATTTGCCTCAGGTGGGGATTCTACACATCTAAGAATGGATGCATTTCATAGGGAGATCACTAAGGCTTAACCTCGGAATATCTTCATCTGTCAAAGAGTTAGAGACCCTAATTACAATCATCTAACAACAACAGAAAAATCCAACCAATCCTTTTCCTTCCACCTAAACTACTTGAATTTTCCTGGATAAATCAATCTCTGAAATGAGGAAAAAAACCCCCACACAAACTAGGAAAAATAAGTAAAAAGCATTAAAATAGGTAGCAAAGCTTCAGTCTAAAATAACTTATAGGATCACGTAAGAAAAATCACTTGAATTTGAGCTGACTTAACCAAGCACCTGAAGGGAAATGAGGCTGAGGGCACATCTTACCTCTTTTACGGACACATACTTAGCAATAAGTGCAACTTACATATCTTCCTATAAATATAGCCCCAGAGTGACATTTTTCCAACTAGCAGTGCCTTTGGGTACAGTCACTGTGTGAGTGCATACACCTGTACAAGCACTCAAAGAAGATTGTCAGATGTATTTATAGCTATGCACAGAATGATCAAACGTGTAACTCTATATAGTGAAACTGTATGGATCCTATTCCTTTCCAAACTGATAATGAATTAATGCTCCTGAATGAATGCATCCACACATATTTGTATTGCACCAGTATACCTTTTGGTGATCTATCTGTTTCAATACTAAACAAAACCAGATTTCATACATACATACATACATATATGTAAAAGATAACTGTAATAATAGAATATATATTTGTAATGAACAATTTCACTTCAAAAGCATGGCAAGGAGTACACTTAATTTCACACTGGCACAAAGAGATCACTCAGTTAATAGTAAATATACAACAAAAATTGCTCAGTAGTTAAAAAATGAAGCAAATTCATTTTTCTCTCAAATTCAATTTTTTGGGATTTTTTTTGGTTTTGTGTTGGGGTTGGGTTTTTTTTTTTGAGAGAGAGCACTCAGTGGTAATAACAGGATTCTAAAAAACCCACTATTTTTATAATGAATGGCAAAAATGTAAGAAAAGGTACTTGATATTCCAGAAACTGACTAACTCTAAAAAAACAAAACATGCAAATATAGGTAACTCTGCAGTGGTAACATCAACAATTATCTCTATTTATGGTTTACACACCCTCAAATCCTCCCCCAACCAAAACAGCACTTCCTTATTTTACTGAAAATGTTTTAAAATCAATTTATTTTCATAAATGATATTGCAAGTATTTTTTACACTATTTTGTTGCAACAGCACATTTTTACATCCACCGACTTCACTATTTAGAAGCACACATCAATTGACTGTACAATTAATAAATTTACATGTTAAACCATCGTATTTTCAGGAAGTTTTTACAGTGACAACACAAATCAATGGCACTTTTCATTACTCCATTCTATATGCCAATACCATCAGATGTCCCTCATCTTTCACAATTTAAAAGTCAGTACCAAAAAATTGATTTTTATAACTAAAGCCAAAGGAACAATCCAATATCCGTGTAAGCTTACTCTAAGTCAAAGTCTACTTAAATTACTCATGAGGGATGGGGCGCACGTTTTACGTTTTAATTATTCACCTACCTGAGCATAGCCTAACCAAGACTTTTTTTCCTTTCTGCTTTTGATGCGGGATGTAGAATTGTATATATGGCCCTGAAAAGCAAAAAACTCCAATCTTTTAACAAATATCAGAGTGACAATTTTACACATAATCAGTTACCATCTAAATAACAATGTATTCAACCATATTGAGAAGTGAAAATTGTAAGAAAATGCTGTAAAATTCTCATAGAAATCAGAAAATCAGAAATCAGAAAAATTTAGACAAACTGTAGAAGAACTTATCATTAGTAAGCTACAAAAGATTCTTAATGGAAACAGGACATCAAAAAAGTTGTTAAAATATTAACTATCTTCATCAGACAAGAAGAAATCACATTACCCTCACTGTCCCGCTATATCCAGAGCCGATTTTGTAAAGTCCATCTTTACATAAGAGATAGAGGAAAAAACCATCACTCTGAAGTAGGCACTGGTCATCTTCATCTACAGATATTTCTTTCAATGGCCATTTGTGCATCAAGGCTGCCTTCTTTATCCCATTACTGAACCAGTCCTGGATTTGGATTTTGCCCACCAGAACTGCCTGTACACTCCGTTGAAGAGAATTTAAAATGGTTGGCACCTAAACAGTAAAAGAAATAGTGAGTGAGTGAAAAACATGACTATTTTTTATATTTGTATTTTCTGTTCTATCTCCAACTCAAGAGAGACAAAGAAATACCTACTCTTATCTCAAAAATAGTGAGGGGAAAAAAGTTAACTGAATTTACACAATAAATCTCCTCAGAACTCATGTACATATCATTTACATAAATTCCCAGACACAGAGAAGTTTTAGTGCAAGACCTGAATAGTCTGACAAGCATGGCTGCCATTATTGGTGAGGATAGCAGAGATTGCTTGCAACGTTCTTCCCGTCTCTCCCCATGCAGCTACCAAACTGAAGAGGCAAGCGCAGGAAAGTGCTGTCAGGGACTGTCCTGTACTGTCATTCATTCCCGTGCTACGGACAGTTATCTCCAGAAGAAGCTGGAACAGGGATTCTGCAGATAAAACACAGCAATTACATAGACAAGTCACAAAATCATACCAAGCAATTTGCCAGTCAATGGGAAATTAAATTTACGAAATACATGATACATCTTTCCTCAGCCACTAAGTTTAGCCCTATTTCCAGACAGAAAAGAAAGCATCCCACTTAAAAATGCCTACAACATCCTTAACTTTTCATTCTTTTTCAACCAGAAAACATCAAGTCTTGATAATCACAATGGCCAGAGAACAAGAAAAACTAAGTCCTTCTGCTACAGTGGAACACATTAATAAGAAATGGACCAGAAGGAGTTACTTTACCTGCCTATTCAGTCTACCTTATCGCTGAAATGATGTGTAGGTCTTGACCAAACTTGTCTATTCTTTATGACCATTACCCATGTTGAAGCACATTCCATTCCCCAGAAATAAGCATTTCAAATCAAAACTTGAAAATTATTTTGATCGCATGCCTCTTTTCAAACACTGTTTAGCAACTGAACATCTGTAACAACCAAGGTGTGAACAGAAATCCACCTCAATTTTTTTGATAGTATATACAAATAATCACTAAGGCAGTAATCAAAACAAAGCCTTCTTTGTAGCTTTTTAATACTCTGTGCATCAATACAAAATAAAAGCTTTCTGTAGCAAATTACTATTATCTTTGGAAATAGAATACTGTTGAGCCACAACATCGGAAAATACACATAGGAAGTCTTAAGATGTATTTTATTTTTGTTATTTTTAAACAATGGATGCTACAGCCTAGCCTTCCTTGCAGTTCTATAAACCAGTAAAAACCATGAATTAACAAAAGATAATTGGATTTTAACTTAAAGGACATAATCCATCATACATTCAAAGCCATCAGGTGTTCAACTTTTATTTTCAATATCATTAAAAGCAAAATGAATTTTCAGGGAAACTTTTGGATTGCCAGAGGAAATAAAAGCAAGAATTCTGATACTTCGTTTAGCAGCTTTATATAAATGACAACGTTAAATAGATAAGCTATAGATTACAACAGCAGATCGCAAGAGAAGTTCACTGTAGAACTATCTTCTTTCTAATAAGACCAAGTATTTTATAGCTTCAGTAAGACAAATGACTCACAATTTGTAAGGTTGTAAGGTTTACTATGTTTCAGTGAAACACTGCATTACACGGCAACAAAATATGACTCTTGTTTTTATATATATACCTTTACATGCCAACATTCCTGTTCTACAAAAAATTAATGCTGAGAAAGTACTGGTTACATACACCATAAGGAGTTTACACTCCAGAGTAAAGTCAGTCTGTTGAGAACAAGCATGTTACTATCTCACAGATACTTGCTAGGAACCATTTTCTTCTGTCCAATACAATAACAGACATATATTAATAAAAATACAGTAACAGATGAGATATTACCTAAGACTTCAGGAGGTTCTGACTGCAGGCCTTCTGGTTGCTGGCCCTGGAGCACATTAAGTAGGGCTTGTAGGCTCCTGAGACACAAGGATGGATGAGAAAATCTCGTCTCCTTTATCAGTTCAAAGACTTCACATAATCCAACTTCAATGATCTAAAGAAGCACAGATATTTCAGAATATCTGTTAATGTATTTTTGGGTCGTCATCAATAAAGGTATATCCCAGTGTTCACAGAACAAGACAGTTATTTGACTAACAAAAATTCAATACAGAATACAATGGTAATTCAAAAGAGAATCAAAATCAAGAACCCACCTACACAACTGTACTAGCAAATATTACAAAGAAGTATGTCATTATATGAAAGAGCATATCTAAGCAGAGTAACAGTTCCGTGAAAAAAAAAGGAAACAAAGTATTTTGGACAATGTAAGACAAACTGTGCCTCTGAGCCCTTCTAATTTCTATCGAGTTCATGCTTCATTTGACAGACCTTTTTCTTTTTTCCTTGCTCATGAATGTGAACCAGCAAGCTAGAATTGGCTTGCAAGCTGACTTCCGAACTAGAGTAATGACACGTTTGACAGCTGAAACTGGCAGTACTAGTACTTTCCCCTCCAAAGCCTCTGAGATTGCTCTTGTGACAATATAAAAAATAAAGATTAATTACTTGTCACTAAAACTCCATATGCATGCATTATGCCAACTAATACAACATCTCTAAGAGCGCTGTTACAGCCACTACTAACTTTCCCTTTTAGCATTCCTGAATATTCTGAGATTACAATTATGATTCTCTCCACTGACTGTTCCCTGTCACTTCCTTCTCAAACTCAGAAGGTAATAATGATGAGGATGAAAGAAAAATGAATAGGGTTAAATCATTACAAATAAGCAACCATATCTTTAAAACTTTACTATGTGTTTCTGTCAGGAGCAGGGCCTCAATGTTTAGAGTGTTTAATATAGATTCACCCTTGAGTAAAATCTAAGGAAAAAGACTGAAATGTGAAAATAAATAAAATTGTTAATGGAACTGCCACTCATGCTTAAAACACATCTATTCTGACAGTCAGCTATAAGTTCTACTGGATGCCTTGTAACTGTCTTTGCTGTCATTCAATTTATTTCGATTCCTGTCTTTCAGAAGTTATTTTACCACCTGTTTGATTTTTGGAGGAAGAATAGAAACATAATCAAATCAAGTCTTCAAAGCGCAACAGCAATTTTCCTGCAAATTTGATCTTACATTTCAAATTTTCAGTGGAGTGGGAAAACACATGCATGGAATCTACAGGGAAAAAAAACCTGTCAACAAAATAACAGCACAGATGGTTTTTCCAGGATCCAAAACTCAGCATCATCTTGCAGGGTAAAGAATGAAATACACTGTAGTACATTTTTAGAAATGCCCTTTCCTTTTAGTGATAGTATCTCTGAGAGAAACGAAGAAGTTTATTCTATTCTTCCCAATCTTCAGACAGGAGACCTGTCATGATTTTAGCCCCAGTCAGCAACTAAGCACCACACAGCTGCTCGCTTACTCCCCCCACCTCCGGTGGGATGGGGGAGAGAATTGGGAGGGTAAAAGTAAGAAAACTCATGGGTTGAGATAAGAACAGTTTAATAACTGAACTAAAGTAAAATAGTAATAATGATAATAATAACAATAATACAATATACAAAGCAAGTGATGCATGAAACAATTGCTCACCACCCGCTGACCGACACCCAGCCAGTCCCTGAGCAGTGATTGCTGCTTTCCAGACCATGCCTCCTAGTTTATATACTGAGGATGACATCATATGGTATGGAATACCCTGTTGGCCAGTTGGGTCAGCTGTCCTGGCTATGCTCCCTCCCAGCTTCTTGTGCACCTGGCAGAAAAGTCCTCGACCAGCGTAAGTACTGCTCAGCAACAACTAAAACATTACTGTGTTAACAACATTATTCTCATCCTAAATCCAAACCACAGCACTATACCAGCTACTAGGAAGAAAATTAACTCTATCCCAGCTGAAACCAGGACAAGACCTCATCTAGCAGCTGACAAGAGGCAGCTGGAGAAAGCAGAGAACCTAATACAGTGGAGAAAATAATTGAACTTCCACTACAGTAGGAATCAACAATGCATAGTTCCGCCGGGATTTTGCCTGATCTGCACAGGTTTTGGATTGTTTTTTTTAGTATCTGAGATCAACAGATATATATATATAATGTGGGTATCTCTCTCGCAACTCCTCCAAACTGTGCACCGAAGGACAGAATAAGAAAACTATTCTTTTCAAGACATCTTAAGCTTGTTCTCGCTGGTCTCTGAAGGGTCTCTGAGCCAAAACAAGCACTCCTGCAACCTCTGCATCACAGCCTGCTAGCTCTTATTGATGCTCTTTACCCAACCATCCTTCCGTTCCCTTTGCAACATCTTTGAGACTTCGGATCAAAAGCGTAAGCCCACAAGGTACACAAAATTCTAGCCTGGATGCAGACATTATGATCCACAATTAATTCCTCAAAAAAAACCCATTTCTCAAGAAGTCTTATCTACACTATTGTTTTATTTCCTTTGTCTTCCCTCTCTCATAATTGCCCAATATCCGCATTTCTATGTTTATTTAAGAATACATAATTCTCTGCATTAATTTATATGTGTATTATATACATACAAAAAATACTTTACACAGGTAACACATTCTCCTAATGAATTTTAAAAGACTTAAAGTCAGTTTCTAAAGAGAGTAATTATTTTTCTTTTTTTTGTTACAACTTGAAGATTTTCATTTTTGCTTAAGCTCATTAGCTAAACAGTAAAATGTATGCCACTGCAGGAACAAAGAATAATTCCACCTTAATCCAGCATTTGTTCCTTTTAGTACAAGGCTTTTGCGGATCATCCATAACCCAGTGTTAAGTTTAATATTTGGGGGGAGCAACTGCAAGTCAAATCAGTAGAATTGAATCTGCCCTATTTCAAGTAGAAAGAATTCTCCATCATTAGCAAAGGTACTAAATAAATAAGGGACTAAAAAAATAAGTCAGGCAAAGGCAAATGTTTGATGTAAATCCAAAAATTTAAAGCTATCAAAGCAAGTTATTAAACTATCTGAACACAACCAAAATACAAACTTTATTGTGCTAACATCTGAAGACCAGAAATTGTGTCTCTGTGTCGCTTTTAACGTTTGTTAAAAACAATGTTCTCAATCTTATTATAGAAATTGCATAGGACAACTTTTAATTCCGAAATGTATTCTAAATAAAAGCTCTAACAAACCTGACTTCCTCAAGTTTAAGATTAAAAAAAGATACTTCAATGGAACACCTAAGATGCACAAAAAGTCCGATGCTTTCAACTTATTCTCAATTAAATGAAGAATTTTCACGAACAAAAAAAAAAAAAAAAAAGACACACCAAGGACTAACTTCACCAGTTTAACTCTGGAGAATCTGGAAAAGCACAAATCCTGGTTATACCTGTTTTTGAATCTGACTTTCACCTCACTGTCAAATTCAAAAGACATCAGTATTCTTTGCAATAAGCTAATGATTACTTTCAGAAACTGGTCTAGTAAATATTGTAAGCCTTAGAAATTTCAATAGCTCTCTTCTTTGTATTTAACAAACTAAGCCCAACCCAATATTGTTCATTATACATAAGAATTAGACCATAATATACTCAAAGCATGAGACAGACACTGATACTCGGGATACAAGGACATTTACTTAGTTAGCCTCTAAAAGTTTTACTACCTGTGAGACAGCTGCAAGTGGATGCCTTTTTCAAATGTATGGATGCAAGTGAAATTAATAATAAAAAGTGTCTTACCTTAGAGGAACCTAAACAATCCAATATTAGCTACACAGTTATTAAAAATACTGAGGTTGTACCAAGCATCTAAGCCATTGTTGAATCAGTAAAAATTCTTGAACTCTGATATTTTGTAGATTCTTTGCTAAAAATGAATAGTTTGAAAGCATACTGATTTTCATCAATTTTATATTTACTGTATTAAATGTAACAAAATAGCTCAGTGATTTTCTGTTTTGAGAAAGGAAAAGTAGAACGGTCTAGAGTAGAAAAAGTAGAAAGGTCTAGAGAACAAGTCTTATGAGGAGCGGCTGAGGGAACTGGGACTCTTTAGCCTGGAGAAGAGGAGGCTGAGGGGAGACCTCATCGCGCTCTACAGCTCCCTGAAAGGAGGTTGTAGCGAGGGGGGGGTTGGTCTCTTCTCCCAAGTAACTAGCGATAGGACGAGAGGAAATGGCCTCAAGTTGCGCCAAGGGAGGTTTAGACTGGACATTAGGAAAAAATTCTTCACTGAAAGAGTGGTCAGGCCTTGGAACAGGCTGCCCAGGGAAGTGGTGGAGTCACCATCCCTGGAAGTATTTAACAGATGTGTAGATGAGGCGCTTAGGGACATGGTTTAGTGGGCATGGTGGTGTTGGGTTGACAGTTGGACTTGATGATCTTAGAGGTCTTTTCCAGCCTTAATGATTCTATGATTCTAAGTAAAGCTTCCTACCTAGGGTTTCCATAACATTTTTGCTAAGCCACCATCTGTTCAAAACTGCACCATTTTTCCAAGTCTCTTTTTGATAAACTCTCCACGACCTTTAACAATGTTCTAGTTTCCACATGCAAGTGTTCTGTCCATATCACTGGTAAATTTCATCCTTCTCTGAACCTCTTTTAATTTCAAAATCTCTTTAAAACTCCATTCCATTCTTTATAAATGCTAATAGCTACATTGCCTTTTACTTAAAATTTCAAATTAAGCATCTACAAGCACTTGCTGATTCATTTATCCACAAGGAGTAAGATGCAGTTCATAAACAATGCTAACTTTATTTCTACTGACTGCACGTTATTTTGCAACTATCAGCCGTGAAATTTCAATTATCAAGTTGCAGTTACCTGACTTCATAATGTTCCTCTGCAATTCTCCACCACTATTTCCAGGGTGCCAACGTTGCCCTTCAGATAATACTACCTACACACAATCAGCTACAAAATTCTAATTTTCTAAGCAACTAGAATATTCCACATAATCACTGCTGCAGCAACCTTTTTAATTCAGTATTTGTAGTGTTTTTAGAGCAAACACAAACAAGGAAAGTTACCCCGAATATGCTTTTTAGACTCAGAAAAATAACAAAAGGAAGCAGAATTCATAGCATTAATAGGCTAGCAATGAACAAAACTGAATGCACAGAAGTTACATAGTACAAAACGAGTGAATTAGCAAATTGAAAAGATTAAGAAAAAAACAGTAACTCCTATATAGATTATTTCTGACTTTCCACCATTAATCCTACTATAAGCATAGAAGTAGTAAATAGTAAAAAACCTACCCTAACTGTTGCACTACCGTGTCCAAAATCTTAATGTGCATTACTAACTATCTATAGTTATCAGTGCCAAAAGGCACTAAAGCCAAAAAGGGGAAAGATTAAAAAAATAAGGTAGTAAGAATAATTGACAGTTACTGCAATTACATGTAATACCTGGCAAATCATCTTAGAAAACACTCCACCAACTGAATTCCAGTAGCAGGAAGATTTATTCTTTTTTGGGGGTAAAGCAAGAGAAAGCACCCTTTATCATACCAGCTAGTAGCCTCTGACAGATGTAAGAGCTGCCTTATTTGCATTTTGTGTAGACTTTTGAGGCTCTAGGTTATTTTCAAGTACCAGTACTTACAAAGGAGTGCAAGTTGAATGTTTACCTAACATTTAATTAACTTTAAAATTAATTATCCAGCAGGTACACAGATCTTCCTAATTCATCAAATCAGATGATTCTGGACTAGATGGATTACAAATAAAACTATAGCTATTTTCTGAGCAGCTGGCTTATAATGCTGTTCTTTATTCCCCACAAAGAACATACCAACTTTAGATCACATAGGTGGCACACTTTAAACAGCATCCAGTTACTTGCCTTTGGAAGTTTAATAGGTGGCTCTTTGGATTCCTCTTCTTCATCACTGTCCGAATCCCCACTCTGTACACTGTTCTTTGAAGCCAAAGATACAGATGCTTCCTTTTTTTGCCACTCCAACACACAATGGCGGACATTGCAGTAAACATTAAAAGCTGAAGGGTTGCTATGTAATCTGATATCTGGTATGGTTATTGTACTCTCTAGGTTTTCAGTCTGAAAAACAAGATTAGTTTAAAGTTTATTAGAAGTTTCAAGCTTTGCTAAATACAAGTAATCTCAACAGTCTCAATAATTTTGGCCAACCAAATGATTCTCAAATTGGAGACTGAACTTTCCTGTTGAAGTACCAATTATATTTCAGGCAGGGAAGAAAGGAGGAAGGGGAAGAAATTTCAATATATTCCATTTGGCTTTAGTCTCTACCTCTCATAACTTGATGAGGACACTGGGACAGAAAATGAAAGCAATTCAGGCTACAGAATGGTCCAAACCTGTGCCACAGCCAAAAGACTAGCAGAATTCAGGATTTATCTTCTTAACAGGGGTCAGGTTTCTTTTTTTAATTATTATTGAATTTTAAAATGCATTATTTGTTTTTCTAGTTGTTAACTTTAATCTATTGGTAAATAATAAAAATTTAAGCTGTTTGCTAAATGTATATTAGAAATTAAAAATACCATTAGTTGTTTTGTCATTAAATGTAAACAGATGGCAAGTTGAAAAACTCCCATGGCCGGATGCTGTGGATAATAATTTTGTATAACCAGAAAAGAAATAAAAACCTAATGGACAAACCACTGAATACAAAAATCTATCAAGGCCTATGAAGTAACAGGACACCATCTTGTTTTCAGAAGCCCTGAGCTACAAAGTAAGAGTTGGGAAACTGTTCTGAGAAACTACCATGTCACATGCCCTACCCTACCACTACTCTGCCCCACCCTTTCCTTAGTATCTACTACTGGTATATTACTGTCAGCCACGGCCGAGACACAAAAGAGCCTTCATGGGGCTGTCTTTACATTTGGAATAATGTTAAGAAAAAACATTTTTTGAAAAACATCTTTTAAGTTCTGCCCCGTACTCTCCCCTTCTGCAACAGTAAGATGGGACAGGAGGCATGGTAGACTTCAAAAACCAAACAAACAAGACCCCACAACCAATTAAAAAAAAAAAAAATCCCCAGGCAGTGTTATACTTTCTCTTAGGTTGTGTACTACCAAAGACTAGGATGGTTTGAGCACAGACTATGAAAAACCGGACTTCAGGCACACGGGAGGAAGCAATTCCCTATACTACCTCAATGTAGACAGAGGGCACAGAGACTATATAAGGAAAGAAGGCCTAGGTTAAGAGTGCAGGACAAATTTGCTTGAACATGCAAGGCAAAATTTGGAGGAGCACTAGGCTAGACTGCGTCAGGGTCATGACTAACCTCACAAGGTTATTTTGGTTTGTTTCTTGTATTCTTGCGGGGAGGCAGTGAGGGTGGAGGCTTTTTATCTTTTTCTTTCTTTTTATTTAAGGGGGATTGATATTGTGAATGACCACGCTCATTTGGCAGGAGAGTACACAGTGAATTATATATTACAGTGATTTGGAACAGACCAGAGCGGAAATACCCACACATCTGTGAGGGCACTGATGGGAAAGAGGACTTTAAACCAGCAGAGAAGAGGGGAAAAGAAGTTTGAGAACCAATGGACTGGATAATGTTTTAATGGGGTGATTTATTTTTCTACAATATGGTAGCCACAACTTTGTACATCAAAACAGAGCAATGGTTCACAACACATTTTTATCTGCACTTATCTTTTTATTATTACCAGAAATAACATGGGCTTCTAAATTAGACCATTTAACACCATATGGTACAAAGCTTAATAGGAAATTCAAAACAACTTCAAAAGATTTCATAGTTCATATTTCCTTTTATTTTTGACTACAGTATTATTCTAACTGTACTGGTACATATTTGCATATCCTTCCTTTCCATTATTACTACAAAATTATTGCAAGCTAAAACATTAAGAAGCAATGGTTTACTCTGTAGCCTATTTTAGCCAACACAGACAGTGTGTTAATTTTTCTTACTCGTGTCAGTGTTAGCAGTAAGCACAAAAATATAAAGATAACTGGGGGGGGGGGGGGGAAGCAGGGACTGGAAAAAAAAACCGTACACATACATGAAGGTTGGGGGTTTTTTTTTTTTTTTTTTTTTTTTTTTTTTTTAGCACAACAGAACTTCTGCCATTAGGGATTGAAATACAACATATGTTTAGTCCTTGTTCAACATGAATATCTTCAAAATAATAAAGCTGCTGTTAAAAATTAATATTAATATTAACATTAACCACAATATTAATCAGTGCAAGAACTCAAGATACAACCTCCTATGTTATTCCAGTATCAAATTGCATTAAAATAGATTTGGATTGATACCAATGATAATGAGCTACTACATACTTTAAAATGTATTTGGCACCAGAAAACTAAACGGTTATAACATATGACTCTTCTGTATGTCAAATATCCATACACATACCCCTGGAGTTTTTGCAGCTGCTGTTAAAGCAAACACACAATATCAGCTTTCAGCTTTAAAGCTAACTCACTTGAACTGCATAGGTTAAAAAAATTATTTAGTAAGTTTACTATGCACTTCCTAGTTTACTGACAGTTACAGGAAGAAAAAAATAATCTGGATCCTCTGAAATATCTCTACCTGAAGTTCACTTATCTAATTAGTAACATGTATGGTAATTATAACTTCTGTGAAGTTTCCATTCCAGTTCTTTCTTGTTAGGAGTTCAGCTTAGTCTTTGTTCCAGAAGAGCCCAAGTTCTGTAGCTCACGTAGCCTCTTTTGAAATAGGTTGGCCAAATTGTTTAACCAGCACAGATAATTTTAGACATTACAGTGCTAGATAAAATATCAATGTATGTTTTCTTGCCTATTAATAATAAGTTGACTAATTTTCAGAAATAAAATCCTTCCTTATTCTCAAAACAACTATTAAAAAGTCCCTTACCTAATGCTTTAGCTTTTAAACAGTAAGCACTTTAATCATTCAATCTTCGTGTTTAGTGTCTCACTCTTCTACAACAGTGCACAAACTATAATTATAGACAATAATCTCCTACCCAGACTTCAGTACAGCATAACATTCTCCAGAAAACCCTGCTCTATCTGAACAGTGTAGCACTAGAATATACCACTCAGAACTAGAGTTTATTTAATTCCTAGCTGTGATGTTAACCCACTGTTCACATTTCTTAGTTCATACCTCCACTTCCCCTTAACAATACCTTATCTCTGAGAATTGTAAATTCTTTGAAACTAGAAGTATCTTATATTCCATTCTGTTATACACTTGACAAATATAGTAGCAATCCTAACAATATCCCTTAAGAATCATTTTGAAATTCACTACCTGGTTTTGTCAGTTTAAAAATACCGGCCTTGTGTCTGTACTAAATAAAGCCCTTTTTGAACAGTAAGTTGTTGGGTTGTAAGAACAGATTAAAACTTAAGGATAATTATGACTTTCACTGTTTACTGTCTTTCATTTGAGGGGGAAAAAACCTCAATGGAATTAACATTAAATGTATAAGCATACAAATGCTTAGCATGTCTCAAGGCAAAAGAAAAGTGCTGAATGACAAGACACATTGTTTCTGGTTGGAGAGTAGGAAGGGAACTTCCAATCACCAAGTTGTTCTTTCTCTCTCTCCCCCCACAAACTTCACCATAAGGTAAAAACCAATGACGATTTATTTGTGATCGATTTGCTCAAGTCTCTAAGGGGCTTTAACTGTAATATTTATAGCTCCCGGGTCTTCAAAGCAAACATCTGTTCAAAAGTGGAGGTATATGAGCATTGTTTATAAGCATCACTTTCTTAGATTTCTTTTACAAAAGGCAGAGATGGAGCTGATAAAAAAAAAGAAACAAAAACTTTCTGCCCATCTAATACAAATGCTCACTCAGTGAGCGGCTTTTTTTTCCCCTTCCCTTTTTTCTTTTCTTCAACAGGGGTAGTAGAAATTATTCAAAACAGACATCAGAAGTTTTTTTTCTTTCCAGATTACAACAGATTCCTAACTTCACTGAGGTCAGATGCACTGATCAAATTAGGAAACTGGGACTTAAGTTCATCCCATCATCAACTGGAAGTTTCCTTTTCTGCAATTAATGAGAGCAACCCCATGGCATTGGGTTGCTCTTTTCTACACAGCCATACAAACTTCCCCGATAGTATGAGATTCATGCTACCACCTGTACAATCTTGCTACTAGCTCATAGATTTTGAGGTAGAACAGATCACTATGACAATCTAATCACTAACTGTGCCTACAGAACCCCACTTAGTAATTCTTATATCAAACTAATAAAGTCTATTTTAAGTTACAACAATTCTTAATGATAATGCATTTCATGTTGACACAAAAATACTTCTACATTGCCAAGGAAAACAGTGGAACTTTAAGCCAAAATGTTAATCAACTTCTAAGAACTCAGTGAAGTAATTTATTAATTTTGCGCAGATCTAGGATTGTTAATAATCTTGATCTCTTGAGCTATGGGATACATTATTTCACGAAAAAAATCTCACCCTAATAGCTTGTTTTCTTGGTATTATGTGTATCGAGAGCCATAGATGTATGAAACATCTTTTTGTGACACTGTGGGTAAGGTGAAGAGCAATGATCACTTTTTCTGCACCTCTAAATGTCCTTTTCTTAATGGCTACTGGAATATTATAATCCAAAGCACTCACTAAGTATAAGAATGACTAGAAGCCCAGCTTCTAGGATGTCTGAGTAGAAGATGAGATGATAGACTCTACATTTTTTTTTCTCCCAAAGCATTTGGTTTCTCAGAATACGAAATTGCTATCACTTTCAAAAAGAATGGAGCTTCAAGACTGGAAAACAGAATTACGCTTTTTGATTTAGTGGGTTTTATATGTGCTGCAAGAAAGTGGGACATTCTGAAATCTTTATCCACTTGGTATCATCACAAATTGAAAATGCACCTTCTTAAATCATGCATGATGAAACATATATCGTAAAACTTAACAGATACTCAGTATTCATCACATCTTCTGTCTTCAGTGCTGCAAAAATTTATTTGTGCTAGACAGAACATCTAAAATTAAATTTTGGTGGAAAGGAAGAGCAATTTTTAAACATGATGTCATTCTTACAAAATGTGCAATATTAAACTTCAGAAAGGAGATTCTCAACTGAAACCATAACAAGGTGAGGTAACAGTGATGAAAGGTCATTTCAATGGTCAGAAAGACTAATGCATCTTTTTCAGAGGAACAGATAGACAATCTGTAAAGGCAATAAACCTAATTAAATCCCTCACAAAAGTTTTCTGTATTTTAGGTAGACAAAACAGAAGCAGATGATGTTCTCCAAACATTTAAGATAAAATTAGAAAAGCCTTTCTCTTGAAGTTTTAAAAAATACTGAAGAAAGAACAATTCAATCCTGAACTACTGAATAATGAAATCTAAAATTGTCTGAGAAATTGCAATGCCAATGTAAGTAGAGAATCATGAACATAGTTTTAATAGATGAAGGTAAAATTTTATTTCTTGTGCGTTACTTTTTTTCTGGAAGATAAGAGGCTATCTTATGAAAGAGAGAATGAAGTGCAGACTGCCCTCAGTCATACATCTACCCTGATGTATGACTTGTCCTTGTGAACATATAGTCCCTGCTAAATGGAAGGATGCATCATGTAGGACAGTTAAATGGCACAGGTTTGATTCATAAAATAGAGCAACCAGACTCAAAAGTGCTCTTCTCAGTTAGCCTTGGTACACTCAAGGAAAGAAGTGGGAAAAACAAAACCCTCTGGTCTCCTTTACACTTGTCTCACACCTAAACAAACTGTTTTCCCAAAAGATGAAATCCATACATAGCTTATTTTCTGACCAATTTATTTCCTTCCTCTTGAACCAGATGACTGCAATAATGGTTTATTCTCTAATGTGATGGAAATAGACTATAATCTAGGAGAGGAAAGTTAATGTGTTGCTAAAGATAGGTAAGACTGTAATAACCATCTGATCTAACCTGTGCATAACACAGAGCATAGTACATCACCAAATTCTTCTTTGAACAGTTCAAACATCTTTGAAAGGGATGCCTTCTTGAGGTTGAAACACCAAATAATAAAAAAGCCACTGAAAACACTGTCAAATTATTTGAGAAGTTATGTGTGTTTTTAATGAGACAAATATTTATCACAGTTGATCCACATTACACATCTAATCATTAGCTTACAATAAATTTGTCTGCTACATGAACAGTCCTTTCCCAAGGTTTTATTCCTTCCATTTGTATAAAGCTAAACAAGTCATAGTTTAAAACTTTTGCATAAACCAAACAGGTGGATGCTGATCATTAGAAGTACATTCTCTGCCTCTGGCGGACTCCAATTTTTCAGTATTCTTCAAATAATGTTATGAGAACAGAAGATGGTGAACTCCGGCTTTCAATCCAGTCTCTCAGCTAAGTGTCCTAAGCAGCACTTTTGTAAGTTAAAAGTAAAGTGGGGAAAACTCCAGGGGGTGACAAGGAGGGGAGGGAGAGGAAGCAGCAATATTCATAGCGTTGAGGTAAGTTACACAGCCTACAATTTTCTAGTAATAATTGTTGCCAAAAAAAAAAAAAAAGGAGGGGGTTGGGTGGGCAGGGGCAGGAATCCAAGGTGCTACACCCACATCTAATAATCACATATTTGTTTTCTATGTAAAAGTCACTCTATTCGATACTGAATTTCTAAAGCCAAAACACACTGCACCCACATGGAAAACTTTTATACCTTCATTTAAAAAACAGATACTAAACCACAAAACAAAAAGTTAACAGTAGTTCAAATACAAGTGATCATAACATGACCCCAGCTTAGAAACAGAATAAGGCTCAAACTACTGGGCTGCATTAAACACCAATTAATGTTTTATACTTAAAATGATGTAACATTTAATACTTAAATGGTGGAAATAATTTTCTTCCAGTTGCTCAACAATGACTTTTTTTTTTAATGTTCTCTCCTCTCCGATTACTCAATTACCGTTTTTAGTAAGTGCAGGGTATAAATAACAAATTTTTGGGTTCCTTCAGCTTAGTATTAATTTAAGTCCCTCCCTGCCTCTACCAAGCATATTAAGAGAAAGCTCCCACCTCTGTTCAGACTAAAAGATCCTGGTTCTTAAAAAAATAAACAAATGCACACAAGCTCTCCTGCTCAGAATGTCCAGTAATGATGGGCTTTTCAATCTGCCCTATTATAAGGCTTCAAATGGAAACTCACATTTTCCTGACAATACACACGTCTGTTTTCAGACATTCCAGTGCAAAAATGATCATTGTGCTTATTTCTGCACTGGTAAGTATGGGGATGCATTGAAATGCATATGGTGAAAAAGAAAAAAAAAAACACAAAACAACAACAAAAAACAAGGAAACAACCAAAACCAAAAAACAAAACCATCCCACTTTGTTAGTAAACAAAGTTTGATAACCTAAAGATATGAAGCTGATTTTATCTTTCCCTCTTCAACTACATTTTTCAGGAAATACACAGTTTCTTGCTATCATGCAGGAATAAGCTGGAGTGCCTTTCTGTACCTTACTGACTCGGAACGAACACCAATGTTCTGCTGGTCAACCCTGGCCTGCCTCAAAGACTGTCTAGAATAAAGACATCAGCAAAAGACATGCAATAACCCATTATGCCTTTCAAAGGCAGATAAATCTCACTTAATGCTTCAAGTAGAAGCTGTTTAAAACCCAAGAAAAATCTTGAAAACAACCCTCCACAGGCATAAGGTACAGAGATGATCAGTTAGTGCCAAATCTACAACTACTGACAAGAATCAGCCTTTAATATGCGCATGTCATCTTTGGCCATTCAGAAGGGATCCTGCCAATCCATTTATCCAATGGAACTAAATCTAAGAAGCACATTTGACTGTCAAGCTTGTGAAGAACACCAGTTCTGGATTTAGCTTCGTATCTGGCAGTTCAACTAGGGCACCACCATCCAGAAAGACAAGGTTCCCTTTATATAGTAACAATGGTCAAAGCTGAAGAGTATCAAAAGCACAAGTTGCTGTCACCAGACAGAACACAAAGACTAACTACACTCTGCAAAATTTCTTCAAATTTCTAACTTGGTTTTTTGTGTTGACAGTGGGTCTGATAAAATCATGAAGGGAACACGGCTAAAACTTCTAATATCATAGCAATTGAGGAAAGGGATGAAAAATTCAGTTTGGACCAGAAATATTTCACTGTACAGTACTGAGAACAGAAGTGAAGATAAGCCCCTTCTATACTATAGTTTGGAGCTGCACTACTTGAGATAAGCAAAACAGTCTGGTAAGTATCCAAAAAGGCAACACCAAATGAAGAGATATAGGGCTTGCTTCCCCCTCCCAAAGCCATCTGTCTTGAGATAGAGTAACTACACGAGGTTTGGCAAATAGGGATAAGATGGCCAATTTGATCTACAGTGTATTTGTATTATAAGGGCATTCAGCTGACTAGAAAGTGTTTTTACTGGATATTTCAGTGGTTCGGTCCTTCAGAACCATTCCAGAAATGAGCCACTTTCTCTTTACTGACTACAATGGGAACCTAGGAAGAAGCCTCCGTGCCTGCAGTGAGCCTTCAGGAAAATCCCTCCCAGACTCTAGCTTAAACAGAGAAAGCATAGCTCTCTAATAGAGAAAGAATGCAGCAGAGCAGTATTTTAAAATATGTTGCTTCTGTCTAGATTTCTTCTCTGCACCAAGTAAACACGTAAACATTTTTATGAAGTTCACTATGCTGTTCCCGTGCATTTAAAGTGATGGGCGCAGGGGTTACACAGGGAGAAAATATTAATAGAAACAGATAAGTATCATCTATTCCATTATGGAGGAATTTTCAGAGGTTACTTAGGATGCCTTGAATGCTCCCTTTCTCCTTTAGCCAATATGGACAAAACTCTTTGTAGTAGATTCAGCAGTAGTTTCTGTTGGCTAGACATGCATCTCTTAAAATTTAACTATGAGACCAACATGTTTAGCTACATTTACAGCTTAGGAACTGAGAACCAAAAATGCTGTTCATTAGTAGCATGCTGAACATTAGTAGCAAACATAGTTGAATAAGGTTAATATCGGTATCATAGTCATGTATGACAGTAAACAGACAAACAATACTAGCCTACTATTATCTTTCCCAAACAAATAAATTGCTAGTTACACTTATTTTTTCTTATATTTCTCTCAGTTGAAATTACTTTTGTTTTTAAGTCAGAACTTTGTCAAGTTAGTTACAGACTTACCTTGTTGCGTGTTTTTACTTTCAATTTAGTCTTCTGTTTCCTTTTCAATTTTTTCTTGCTAAAAAGTTTCTTATTTCTGAAAAAGAGCAGAAAAGCCATGAGAACAAAAGAATTAAACTCCCTTCGGTGCCCCATGGTAAACAGCAGCACCAGCAGAGGAAAAAAAATGTCAGAAGTCCTCTAAAATTTTTTCGCCTAAGCAAAGGGAACCAACACAGGCAGAATTTCAGAGTATAAATCAGAATATAAGGGACTCAAAATGATGCTTTCCTAATGCTCCACTGAATTAAGGGCCTTTACTCTCATCAATTTAAGCAGAATATATGCTAGGACAGACAAAAAAATCCTTGTATTTTATACTGTTTTATCCTAGAGTTTCTATTACAAGTCCATTAAGGCCACACCAATGCTAGAATTATTGACGTTTCTCAGAAACATAACCTGTTAGTAGAGAACACGTATGTTTTGTGAAGTCTTTATCTGGTAAAGATTCAAGCCTTTCAAGACAAAAAGGAAACTTTGGAAACGTATCATTTGGCAGAAAATTCAGTTGGTGGAAGAAACTGCAACTTTTGAACACAGCTTTTTAAAATTTTGCCTGGACTTTTCCCACCCTCAGCTTACAGACTTTTCATTTGCTTCCCTTTATGTTACAGCTCTAGCTAACACATGCTCCTCTAATCCTTTTCTGCCCATGCCTCATTCCTATCACATTCTTTTTCTCCTTCATTTCACTACCCAGTAAGAAAAAAACCCCACAAAACCCACACAACTCAAAAAAAAAAAAAAGACATCATAGGAAAAAAGACACCATACACACACACACACAATTGTTTTGTCACCATCGCTGATATTACTCTGTTTGAGATGCATCCTTTTTAACCTACTCTACCTTTCTCTGGTCTGTTCAGATTACAAGCCCTCTGCAAAAGAAGGCAGATGTTACCTGTGCAGCATACAGCTCAACCTATACAGGACTTTAAGCAACAGCTACTAACATTCCTCCGTGCCACTTAAACATTACTCAAATAGTTTATAGTTCAGATCAGTTGGAAAAATAAAACTATGGAATCTGAAAATCACAGGCAGTAAGAACTTGCACTTTCAGGTAACAAATTGGAAAGAGATTGAGAATGAGGAGAATCTTAGTATTTTATTCAAACAACTTTGTTCTAAATAAAAATTTTGAAGGTCTAAAAACATATTGCTTACTCCTCTCTTCTGTACAGCATTCAGACTGCAAGAGTATACAAGTTTCATGGTCCAGCAGCCAAAAGCTGAAAACTAAAGTTTGACCAATGGCCACTAGTCAGAAAACAAGCTCAAAGAAAGAACCCCTGCAAAATATCCCAAGAAAGCTGCCTGCTAGAAATTTCATCACCTTTCCCATCTTCACCTATCAACAAAGAGGGAGGTACATTCCTCATCAAGACACTACCTGCAGAAACAAATCAACTCACCACTTTTCTTATAAGGAACCAGCACCATTATCCTGAAGTTAAGAGAATTGATTCAATGAGGGGTAACCCCCCACCCTCCCCAGTAAGCTAAAGTTTATAAAGACAACCTAGATGACTTCCTAAGGTTCCTTCAACAGTAAAGTTTCAGTATATACTGTACAACGTAATTAAAAACCAGGGGGGAAGAAATTTCATACAACTTTTGAAGTCCAAATTTCTATAATCAAACTCCATAGGCCATTTCACTATTTAGTTATTCTTACATTGGACAAGTTTTTCTTCCTTATTAGAGTTTAAAGCAGTTCATTCTTATTCTTCTGTCAAACATGAAGAACAGTGCAGTCCCTTCCATTCCGTAGCCACTCAATCTTCTCCTCTGAACCAAACAACCTTTTATGAAACTTTCAGCCTAACTTTAAGTGTAAAAGTCCTGATTTATTTTGGACTATTTCTGGGCTCTCTCAGTCCATACCACAAGTAAACCACATTTACCAAAACTGAAAATAGTACTACTTTGCTGTTGAGAAGAGGAAGAAGAATTGCTTCATATGCCTCCAAGGTCACACTTTTAACTGTATTCCAGGTATTATTTGGCAGCTTCACTGCAATATGGCATGGCAGACCTATGTGACCCAGAGTAACTTGAAAACATTTTCCTGCAAACCTCCAAACTGAGCTTCCAATACTCTTTATCTAGTTGTGCTGTTAATTATGCCTTTTAAACACAGTACAATTTACACTTACGAAAGACAACTTGATAAGCATTGCTTTTTTTTTCTTTTTTTTTTTTTTAAATGGACACTAACTGAAGTTGCCAAGACATTTCACATTTAATCCTGCCTGCCAAAACCCTTGCAGACTCTCCAAATTTGTTATAGTCTGCAAACATTATAAGCACTTTTTCATCTTGTATATATTTCACAGGACCAGTCCCCTTATTTTTATATGTATTTCTCTGTATGTATGTATATACCTAGAAACCCCCAAAATTAAGCCTTTTTTTCCCCCCCACTAAGATTGGGCTCATTTCCAAAGTGACAAAACCCCACCATTTTGCAAACTAACTTCATTTGTCAATGATATCTAGACAATGTTTTCTCTAACTAGCAAGAAGGGAGGATCAGCAATAGGCTTACTTCCTCTTTCAGATTCCAAGTGGTGGTGCTATGATCTTCCTCATTCATACATCAACCATTAAAGATGCTGCAAGTATAAACTTTTCCTAGTCACTCCACTGTAGCAGTCATTATCTTCAGCAAGTTTTAGGCTTGAACAATTTTTTACATGGAAACAACTTGTGTATAGAAATGCCATGTTGAGAAATCACGTTTATCTCCCTTTTTTTTCTTAAAACAAAACCTCAAGGACACTGAAATGCATCGTTTTTGTTGGGAAGTATACTTTCCTCCTGCATCCAAACGAAACTTCAGAACTAGTAAGTGATAAATTAAAAAATAAAAACCCCTCATCAACACTAATTTTATAAACAGTTCTGAGTAACCTATCATTACTATGCATAATTATGATACTAATATGTTTATAATGTATCTGCATATAACACACAAATATGATTATCCACAGTTCTACTGTTATATACCATTATGCCAGGAGGTTTTAATATTCAGATAGAAAGGATAAAATACAGGCAAGTATATTCATGAAAAACAACGTTAAGCAGATTATGAGTAATTTCCTGTTGGAAACCACATGTGTTAATTATAAGCCTGACTCTTCTACTGCCTGAAGATTAAGACGACCTGATATGGCTCAGTTGGATTTTTTAGCTAAATTATTAATTATGGTTTTGGTAAACAATTGTAAATTGCTGTAAGCTGTCATTTGTAAAGGTCCTGAAACTCTATGCTGACAATCTGCTTCCAGTGGCAGAAGGCCTGTAACTTGTAACTCAGCTGCTGATAACATTTAGTTCACACAAACCAAACACTGATTATCAGCAAATCTTAGGCAGGTTTTCTGCAAACTGCTTCAAGCCATTGTAACATTTGAGACTAAGTTAGCAGTTTTGAATCGGACCACAAAGGAAGTGCAAGTCAAATGAGTGCAGAACATGAAGATACCTTGACAAGAAAATATTTATGGCAAATGGACCCAAAGAAAGAGTGAATGGTGCTATACAGCCTTCACAGAAACGTCTGTTGAGAATAAAAGCAAAGACCTGGAATACAGAACAATTGTCTCAAACCAAAAGGGAAAAGAAAGAGGAGGGTGGGCAACAACCAATTACTGGACAATTTAAAATAGATAACATAGCTGTTAAATGACATGATTGCAATGACTTCTATTCAGCTTTGTGGCACCTGTAGTAGAAGGAAGTAAAAGCATGCTTAACTTATGTTTTCAAACCAAAAGTAGCATTAGCTAGTACTTACGATATTTGCTGCATTATTATGGGGACGCTCCTCACTTGTCTCAACATCATTGCTCTTACTCTGTTCGAGAGCTGAGGAAATGCAAACAGAGCATCTTCCCTCAAAGTCACAATAGTCCTGAATTGCAATTTATAACCTTAAATTTGAAAAGGAAGCTTTATGTGTTGAGTGCCCCCCTGCAATGTTGTTACTGAATTACTAAATATGGGTTAACATTATGTTAACCTTATGTTAATAGTGTCACACCTGCATAAGCTCTTCTAGGCTGTATGTTACACTAGAGGTGTCACTGATGAGTGCAAAAAATATTACACTGTCTCTGCTGCTGAGACAGAATAGGAACAACAAAAGTGTTATTCAACTGCTGCCTGACCTAAAACCTTTGCTTCTACCTGAAATGTGTTACCAAAGGTCATGGTAGCTAGTACAGCATTAGACCCAGTCATTCTACTGTTAATTAAATCTTTGCGTACACTTTTGAAAAATGAGTGAATTTAGTAAGCCGCATGCCAATACTTGCTAAAATTTTTAAAACTTCCAACTGACTTTGACTCATTGTATTTGTCTACACTTGCTTGCTCTGGTTCAATGGCTAAGCATCTTCGGGAAGAAGTATACTGTTGACAGGAGAGGTCTATCAAAGTCATGATGTGTCCAGACAAATTACAAATATACTGTATTATTTTGTTTTCATAGGTGCTTACTCTGCACCGTTAGCTTAAGCATTCAAGAGCTAGTGGAAATGCTTTTAAGAGGCAGCAACCACTCAGTGACACTGAAATGAAACACTGTCAGATTTGTGATACCAAATAATTCTTTTGTTCCCTCCACTTGGTGAATTATTGCTGCTAGTGGTCAATTTGGTTGGACAAGAAGCAGCAAGCATTTGCTTCTGAACAGCCCAAAGTGAAATCCCAAGCTGAAATTGTCAAGCAGCCTGCAACTGCAAGCTATTATCACCATCATGTTTCAGGGTCTTTCATCACAGCATCAAGTTCCTTAAAAAGTTCTAAATCTACCAACACACTTTACTCAAGGGCAGTGAAATGCAAGTACTGTCATGTGGACATTGGTTGAAACGTAATGAACTGATGTTTCCTCCACTGTTTTCCTCAGTTGCCCCATACTGAACAACAGTGCAAGATCAGCAATACTCATTTTTATGTGCAGAAATCACATAACTAGTGCTGTTTGGCAGCTTTCTTTGTACAGGTATATT